GATCGCGCCTCTCATTTTGTTACGTGGTGAGCTGAGGTAGTATGTAGGCCGATGGAACCCCCAACCGGCCGAGTTGCCCTTGATCGGCTCTCGAGAGGGCGCTGCGGCCTCGATCTGTGCGGACTTGCGCCCCCTGGGTCTAGCCCCAGATCGTTTTCACGCAAGGGTGTTTGGCGAAAGAGGGTTCTGTCCACCTCCGACAAGGGGGCATGAGTGTCTCTTCTGGAGCTGTCATGAAGGGTATGTCCGCCTCGCCCGATTGCAGAGATAATTCTGACTTTTTGGTTAATGAACTCGTGAGCGCCTTTCGCTCCCAACGAATACCTCAGAGCGCCATAATATCTGAGCCTGTCAGCATGCCGCGGGCGCCTGTCAGCGAGCACACGTGAACTAGCAGGAGAATCGTTTCACGCAGCCGCACTGGAGAGAAAAGCACCCGCTCGGAGCCTATGCCGATGCCCCTTTTCCGTTCCCTGCGGCAACTACACGGAATCGGTGGTGGCTCTTCGGGCCAGCGTGTGGATCAGCGTGCGGCCTCGTGGCAGACGTACTCGTCGTGGCGTGCTGGGTGGAGCCAAGGCTCGACGCCCTCCAGCCCGTGGCTCGTGCAACGCCTCGTGGCCCCCTTCCGCAGGGCTCCTTCGCGCGCCGGGCGGGGGTCAAACAGCGCGCCAGGTGATTCCTTCGTCGACGCGCAAGAGTGACCCTTCGCCAGAGTGGCCTTTGGTGCGCGCGGCGTCGGGGGAGCGCCGGGGGGGGGGGGGGGGGCAAACCCGAGTACGCAGGCCGCTGCCGTCGCACGACGTATGGGCATCGGCTCTCGGCAGGCCGCACGCCAGGGGTTCACTCTTTCCCAGGGCCACTCCTGCGTGTGCAGCCGAGCTTCGCAGCCCGTGCCCCCCCCCCGCCCCCCCACACACACGCCGGTGAGGCCGAATTATGGTTCTGTCTAACGACGTAGCTTTATTGTCGAATGGCCTTCGGCCCATCCCGCCAGTGTCTGGGTTATGGGTCGCAGGCCTCTAAGTTGCTCGTTGGGATACTTGGCGGTCTGGGCCCTTCAGGAATCACAGTGCTGGCTGCAGCAGCAGCACAGCTGTGAGCAGAATCCTGGCTGAAGTAGCTGTGAGCCTCAGGGCACTCCATACTTCGTGCCAGAAGCACGGTGGCGGACACGTCTCGTCCTGCTGGCCTTGCCCTCTTCCCGAGGTTGCTTCCTCTGTCTTTCGTGATGTCTGCGATCTTGCTATCTCTTGCCGTGGCCCCTATACGGTAGGGACGTTCGTTAAGGAATGTGCCCAGGAGGCTTTAGACCCTGGAGGGTTCATTATCCGATACTGGCGGCGGTGATATCCATGGCCGATCCACGATTGGCTTTCCACTGGCTTCCAGACCCTGGATTCCTTTTCGAAGGTTTCCTTATCCAATGCCATCACTGTATCTCTTGCCGTGGCCCCCTATCATACCTGTGCCCCGCCTTGGCCCTCGCGCGTGGGTCTGGGTGGCCCGCGGCGCGCTGTACCGTCGCGGCTCCGTTCGATATTGTCTTAAGTCGGGCCTGTCCCTCTACAGGAGGAACATTCCCAAATAGTCAACACAAATAGTCTTGGGACGATTTGTTTTTACTATGTGTTGGCTGTTTTTGAACATGTTTAGAATATGTTTAACTGTTCGTCCAAAGCCCGCCTGTAGGAGGACATGCCCGACCTAAACATTGTCGGAGCGGGCCTCGCCCAGATGGATCGGCTCTCGCGAGCTCCGGTGGCCCGTGGGCCTCTCGGCCGGGCCCTCGTGGCTCAAGGGCAGCGTCACCGGCAAGACGGTCAAGGAAGGACCGCTTTGGGCTCACGGTAGGGCCCTGGTTTTCAATGGTTGAGCCGATCTTCACATGGGCCCAAATGTATTTGACGGGCAGATTTCCACGGAGGTGATCGACCACGCATGGAGGTTGCAAACGGCTGCCCTCTCAGCTGCCACCACTCCCTGGAGCTACATTGCTGGGCCTGCTGGGGCTGTGATCCTCAACCTACGATGGCTGGGATGGCGTGCGCACACAGCCAGGGTCGCTCCTCAGGTCTAGGTCGTGGAACCTGTTCTCGGCCGACGCTTGCCGTGGTCAGAAGCGCACTTTCGTTCTCTATTCAGTATTCCTCATGGTAGCACGGTCGCCGCAGGGGAGGAAATGCTGGAACAGGGCCTCCAGCGCCAGGAGAATCGGGTACGAAAGCTGATTTGCTACCCCCCTTTAGCTATCCCCCCCCTTGGTCCAACCCGACAATTGCCCCTTCCTCGCATACTGGTGCCTGATAGCCCACCCCGCGCCCAGTAACGTGCGAGAACCGCTGTCAGGGGCCAATCGCCGATCTATCGGCGATTTGTCGCTGATTCTAGCTCGATGTTTCCCCTCCTGAGGCGGTCCCACTGGTCGGTCCCTCTCAGCGACGAGACGCCCGTCTCTCAGGCGTGGGCGTGTAATCGGGGTCGGCGGCGAGGGAGGCAGCAGAAAGATTGGTTCGAGAACGCTGGTCGTGGCTCGGCCGTGTTTTTGTTCATTGCTTCGGGTCTCGGGTTTGTGTGTGCTGGGTTGGCGTTTCAGGAAGACATGGTGCGATTGGCTGCCGGAGTAGGCGGTGATTCTTTCGTGCCTCCACCGGCGCGTCTGGCAATAGACATCGCGGTCGAGCTTGCGTTATACAATGCGCACGACATGCAAGGACAGGCAGCATGTGTATTTTTGTTCGGGGCGTGGTGGGTCAGCGCATGTGGCTACTACGCGGTGTCTGTGTTCCTGGCTGCTGGCTGGGAGGTTCAAGTCCGTCCCTTCTGGCAAGCAGTAGTCAGGCCAGCGCGAGCGGGTGTGCCAGGGATGGCCCGGCAGTGGGCGGCAGAACGTCAACGATGACCAGAGCGCAGTCCCGCTGGTGCAGGGACACCAAGAATAATCATCTCCGGGGGCTGGCTGCCACGCGCCACAGATCGGCGGCAAGCCTGGGAGGGAGGTGAGAAGGGGTGGGCCTTCGCAGAAGGCTCGGAAGTCCCCCGGCCTTCTGAGAAGTTTTCTAAGCCTTCCCAGAAGCAAGAAACTTTCCAGAAGGCGCGAGGGCTTCTGAGAAGTCCCGCCGCCTTCTGAGGAGGCCTGCTCCTTCTTACTTCCCCCCTTAGCTCGCCGCCGAACAGGGAAGGCGGCGTTGGCGGAATTTGGGCCCTGCAGTAGGCACGCCAGACACGAAGATGGCTTGGCAACGGGTGCCCCACGTTTTTTGGTTGATTCATATGTGGTATGTTTATGTTTTATCTCCGACTGGGCCAGCGGAGCCCTAGGGCACCCTGCAAGGTTCAGGGCCAACGAAGGGTGCCAGGCTCCGATGGGCCCTGTTCTATAGCCGTGCCAGCGTTGCCCCGTGAACGGTCATGCAAACAATGTTCTGGGTACGCGAAAACGCACGACGTAACATATACACCGTAAGCTGAATGTTTGTAAGTAGTCATGCGCATACATCACTCATTTATGAATGTATATAATTATGTCCGTGTGCATTACATCTACACACCTATAGCGTATTACTTATTGATTTATACACACGTGGCTGAATATAACAGTACTCACACACTGAAGCCCTCTATGCATAGACAACTTCTCCGGCTAGACTCCATGCCTGGTGGGGGCCGCTGGCTGGAGGGTGTAAGACGGCCCGAGATTGCCTCCAGAGTGCCCCAAGACGGGCCAACAGACCTCCAAGGCGCCCAAGATGGCCCCAAGACTGCCGAAGAGGCCCCCCCAGACGCCCCAAGAGAGCCCCAAGAGGCCAGAACCGCTTAGTTCCTTAAGGAAAGCGTTCGTTGCTCCCGACGCTCCAAGACGGCCCAAGACGCCCCCCAGACCGCCCGAGGACGGCCCAAGACGCCCCCAATGACGCCCCCACGACGGCCGAAGAGGGCTCCAAGACAGCCTAAGAAGCGCCCAAGACGGCCCAAGAGAGCTCCAAGACGGCCCCCGAGACCGCCAGCAGGCTCCCAACAAGCCCCAGGAGGCACCCAAGAGGCCCAGAAGATGCCCCGAAAGGTTTCCAGACGGCCCCCACGAGGCCCCAGGAGGCGCCCTGAAGGGTCCCAATAGCTCTAGCCTCACGGCTCGCAAAGGACCGCGCGCCATAGCCGCCCTCGCGATCATGTACTGAACCGAGGAACAAATTAGTACGGCGACGTTCAGATAGTCACTACGTGCACACACACACACATATATATATATATATATATATGTATCGGAGTAGGCCTGGGGAGGGCTCGGAACCACGACCCCTGGTTTGCATTGCGGTCCGGGGTGACCTTGAGGGCTCCAAGAGGGCCCAGAAGGGGCACTGGATCCCCCCAGAGGCCCCAAGGCTGGCGCAAGAGGCTCCCAAAGCAACCCAGGTTGTCTCGAAGATAGCTGAAGAGCGCACTGAGATGGCTTCAAGACTCAAGACGGCCCACGAGCGCTTCAAGACAGCTCAAGACTCTTCCTAGACGGTCACAAAGGCCTTCGAGACGGTCCTAGAGGCCGCCGAGAAGACCCCCCAAGGGCAAACGTCAAGCATTTCCGAAGGAAAAACGTACATTTCCAGTCCTACCAGCCGCCACGATGTCCCTAAAGGCTTTTCAAATCGGCTCCAGGTGGCCCACGAGGCCTCCAAGACGGCCTGAAGAGAGCTTCAAGCAGCACAAGAGAGCTCCAAGACGGGCCCAAGAGAGTCCCCAGGGGGCCCGAGGGGGACACCGGATGATCTCTACATGGTCGGAGAGGGCCCCAAGAGGGCCCCAAGGCGGGCTCAGCTCCCCATGACGGGCCAAGAAAGACCTGGGACAGCCGAAAAGGTCCCCCAGACGGGCCAAACAGATCCAAAAGGACTCCATAAAGATGACGAGCTCGTCTTCTGGTCGGGCTTCCCCCCTGAGCGGTAGAACCCACGGTTCGCTCGTACTTCCTCCGCTTGTGTATCTCGGGCCTGCTTCAGAGTACG